GAGCCAATCACTCGACTCATGAACGGTGACGGCAATTTCTATGACGCGGCGTGTGCGGTCGCCATCCTTGGCGAGGGACTCGTGCGGGTCGTTGGAAAGGGAATAGAAGCGCGGCATCTGTGGCTGCAGAATGGACAGCAGCTTGTCCAATGGCGGCTTGGCACTGGGGAAGGCGTACAGCATCTGCTGCAGAGACACGTGCGGGCCGGTACGGAAGTCGCAGAAGACGCCCTGACCCTCGGCCGAGCAGAGGAACAGGAGCACCTTCTTCTCGTTCTCGTCCGAGGCGTACTCAGCAAGTAGGCGCAGGAGTCCCTTGGTTGGCGGGTAGGACTGAACGTCAGAGCACCAGGTCAACAGGTCGCGGCGTGTGGTGACCAGCTCACGAGCTTTGTCGTCCCCCCAGACCGTTGGCCAGCGCCCCTTGGTGGTGCGCAGCAGGGCAGGCTTGTCGCGAAGGAAGCGGGGAACCATCAGCAGATCCAAAATCTCGTCCACCAACTTGGTGTCGTTGGGTACAGAAACACCAATGGCGCCACCGACCCGGAACTCCGTATCGCTCTCGACGGGGTAATCGGTAACGTCAAGGTCGAAGTGGTACGTCCGCTTCTCTGCGCCAGGGCGGGTCAGCTCGCGGGCGTTATGAATGCGTGCCGGGTATACGTGGTATGGAGGGTGAGGCTGGACGAAGAAGGGAGGCTGAATGGTCGTGTCAAGGTCAAGCATCTCCTCGACCTCGGGCTCGATAGCCAGCTTCTGCATGCCGTCGAGAACCTCGACCGGCTGCTGCTCGGCCTCAGGGACGAGCTCGGTAGCCTTGTCCTTACGAAGTTCACCCTTATCCTCGCCAACGGAGATGGCCGAGTCTGTAGGAACAAGACGCGGGGGGTCGATAGTTGCTGTCGGCTTTGCCTGCGTCTCAGTAGCAGGAGACTCCAACTTCTCCTGTTCTGGTGCTAGCCCGGCTGCTGCTGGAAGGGGCGTTTCGACAGAAGTCTCAGAGGGAGCAGCAACAGGTGTTGGTGTGGACTGTGCAGAGAGCGGCAGAATGTATGCGGTCTGTTCGGGGATGTCGGCGACAGAAGTGAGAGATGTGGGGATGTCACCAATTTTCAGCTGCAGAGAGCGGAAAGCGTCGTTGTCGGGAAGCGGGACAGTCTCATACTCGACGCCTTCGGCCTTGGCACCAGTCTTGAGACAGCAACCGCCACCACAGCACCGATTGATCAACTGGGTACTGGACTCGCCGGTAATCCGCTGGATGTCGGCAGCGTTCTGGGCAATGAGGCGTGTCGAAGCGCGCCGGCGGCGTGGGTTCGCTATAGAAGTCTCGTCTTCGGACGAGGACTGTTGTGGGTCATCGTACTCGTCACGGTCGTCACCAGACTCAGAGTAGGTCAGAGAGGGAGTAATGGAGGGAGCGCGTAGTGGGCCGGGTAGGTGCTTGTTGGCAGCGGCGGCGGTCGCGGCGGCAGCCGCCACGGCAGCAGCGGCTTCCTCGGCAAAAATGTTGCTGAGGCGAGAGTGGGCCATATTTGCGGTCATGGCTATACGGCCACGGACGGACAAGTAGATTCCTGGACGAAGGAGACAGAGGAGACAAGCCAGGCGAGAAAGGCGGTTGGGAGAAGAGGACCCCGCGAAGGCGACGTCGACGTAGAAACGCTGGGGCCGCGAAAGGAGGTCGAGAGTGGAGGACAGAGCCGGGAGATCAGGAGGAAACGAATGGAATGCCGTCTTACAAACAAGGACGCATGGCGAGGACGAGGTTGGACGGAGGCTCTGGAGGAGAAGAGGTTTAATAGGGGAGGGAAAGACGCAGCGAATGCGCGAGCAAGCCAGCGTTGCGCGAGCGAGCGGAAGCGGGTGGGTATGGTTGAATGAGGTATTGATTAGGAAGCCTGACAAAAAGGACACCGCTGTGGAGAGGCTTCTGCTTTCGTGTCAATCTGCAGGACGAGTTCAATTGGATATGGAAATGAGGTTCGAAAGGAAGGGAAACGATAGTAGAACACGAGAGAAAAGAACGAGGAAGGGGGGAGAGAAGGAGGCCACTAAATTAAAATGGCGTTGAAAGTTTTGGATTGGAAGCAGCGACCGACAGAACACGGCGCAGAAATTACATGTTTCTTACTGAAGACTGACCGATATGGAAAGAAGACAGGAGTGGCTAGGAGAAATTTGGGAAGGCTTCTTGGCTTCTCCTTCCGATTCTGGCCGTGGGCCATGGTCAGGCCATACCTGGGGAAGGAGCAATAGGACAACGGTTGCAGGAGTCCAGGCAGTGCGGGGCACGGTGTAGTACCTGCTGATTATCCCCATCAAAGTAGTGACTTAACGACACTAAAAATTGTGTTCTCAATAGCAAAAGGGCCGCTCCCACCGGGGTGGAAGATACCCAACTGCCTTTGCCAACTACGATGTATACCGAACTGTTTCTCCTCTACCTAGCGCATGCTCTTTGTCCCCTCCTTCCCGCACCATTTGCTCCTCGGTTCGGGTGGATTTTGAGGCTTTTACGTGGACGACGCTAAAATGTTAGGGGCGAGCCAGATAGTTGGCAGTGGAGAATGGAGACCCTTTTGTGCGCGCAGTCGCATCTGATAGCTTTTGTACATGGCATTTTCCCCCATCTGATTACGCTGATTGTCACGGCGCCAGCGTACCTCTTTAATTTTCATGTGGATCAATCGTTGTCAGATGCCCCAAAAAACCGATGATCCATAGATCGAAAGCACACGAGTACGAGGGGAACCAGAGTCGATAAAATGTGCTGTTTAATTTCCAGTACCAGTGAAGGTTCAGGTCCCGGCTCATGTCGTGCCATATCGGCAGACTCAAGAGTCGTTGTTGCCTCCCTGAATCGAACATCGGAAACAGGTTCGCCGGGGCATAAAAGGAGACGTAAAGGGCAAGCAGTATTTACGAATATACTCCGCAGATAACATTAGTGGGGATGCATCGCCGGGAAGACAGAGCGGACTCCTGGAAAAGGCACCGCAAGCATAAAACGTCGGCAGAAAGTTGGAAAGGGTTGGAGGGTTCGTGAAATATTGCCACCAAAGTGGCGTCCTCCGCCCACGGTGCCGGGTCGCTGGACAATAAGAGCGAAAGTCACACTCAGCATCTGTCATGCCAGCCCACTTCGCCCTCTCGCCCACCTCTCGTCTCTTTCTTTGAGATTTGTCTGTGTTCTTGCTCTTTTTATTCCGAGGTCTTTGAATTGTCCTCCTTCTTATCCCTTATCACGCTAGCATATACCTATCAACGTCGCATTTGCTGCGTGAGCGACAGTGTTTGGTCCAAACAGCGAATTGCAATATCCAATGTTGAAATGACGGCAGATGGCTAGTCTTGGACGCACCGATGCTCATCGTCTCGCAAAATGCCTTTCTAAGGTAACGTGTTTGCTATCGCGGCGACATACGCGAGTTTGACTCTCGCCCGCTCCGACCTCGGCAATGAATGAGGAACGGGAAGGAGTAGTGGGCAGACGAGGAAACAGGCCTGGCCAAGGGACTGCGAGGACTCTTGGACATCAGCCAGTGCGGGGTGCAGAGTTTGCCGGACAGTACGCACGGAGTACAAAGCTAGCGTCTGCGTGTCTCACATTCCAGTGATTGATTATCAGATGAGATTAGATTTTTCGCAGCTCTGCGTCCTTCCGTTCCTCCGCGGCCCACGGCATGGGCCTGCTCATTTAACATAAGAGACGTCGTCGTTTGAGACACCTGTTCATTTGCTTTCTTTCTTTCCTTTTTGTACTCGGTGTGCGTTACGAGTGCAGTGAAGTGGCCCTCCGTAACAGAGCGTCTGACTCCGTAGCTGCTTCGACTGTTAGGTAAATGTGATAAATCTTGTTGCAATGCCCAACTACACTCCACCCTCTCTTCCGTGAGAGCGCCCCGTTCAAAAACCCCTTGATCCAAAGCCCAACAAGCTCTATCTGGGTCCTGGCTGAAGCGGACCAGACAAGTCGCTCGGCGAGTATCACAACAGACGTTCTATCCGTCTCGAATGGAGGCAGACCGGCTCATAACATTGACGAGAGGCAGTCGTAATTATTCGTACACTGCTCGCCTTGAGCCATTGCGTCTCATCGCTGTCATTTGCTCTGGCCTATTCGGCTCCCCTCCCACTTTTTTTCGTTTTTCGTTTTCGTTTTTCGTTTTTCGTTTTTCCGGTCTTTGGCAAGAGCGCGAGGATACGGCTTGGCTGCTCTTGGCATTCTTTCTCAGATCCTTGTCTGAGGATCAGATAAGATTCACCTCAAAAAGACACCCACTGCAATTTAAATCTGGTTGGATCGGGGTTTGAGCCTATCATCTCACCGGTCGCACACCGAGTAAAACCTGAAGACCTTGCTGTCCTTTGTATCGTCCGTTTTATTGTCTTATTGTTGTGGTCCAAGGCGTTGCATAACGCTAGCACAGTGGTCGTTTATACGGGAATATATTCAAGTTTTAGATTTTTTCGTCCTTTCATGAGCTTGGACTGTGTTATGAAATATGTCACTTTTGGTGATATAATGCAGCGGGCATGGCATCCGGGGAAAAGGTTCTTCTCATACACACATGCCATCGTTCTTTCCTCCTCATCATCAAACACCCCTTCCGTTTTCCCATTTTTGACGTGTATTTACAACGTCTCATATTGGAAGGAAAGAGGGATGATGAACGAATGCACCTTCCGATAGTTACGGGTGACCTCTTTCCTCTGAAATATGTGATAGCTTTTCTTCTGTTTACTTCTGCTTGTCTGTCACCATGTGGCGCCTATGTAAGATTTTCGTCATTCACATCCACTTCCACACCATTGCACCGTTCTCTCCTTTTCCGCGACGAACACATCATTGACGCGGATCAAGTACTTTTATTATTTCTAATTCGACCGGGTGCAACTGCAACGCTTCTATTGTTTTACATCCCCCACTTATCAAAGTATTTTTCTCAGAAACCACTCCGACCGTGGCTGACAAGAGTGACGACTATCCAAACAACATGGGGTGTCCAAACCGCACCTGCGTGGAATACCCTTCACAATCATGCTCCGAGGCCTCACGGTTTGGCATAAAACGAGCTCAGCGATATTTGCGCCACCACACAGTGGCATGGAAAGTGAGGGATACGAAAAAGAAAGCCGCAGCCAAAGAGGAGGAGGATTGGAACGTCGCCGTGTGCGGCACACCACGTCGACCTCGGGGAGTGGCCATGTCTTCCTGGCGCCGAGGCACCTATGTGCTACATCGGAATTGCTTACCACTAGCGCTTCAAGAGTCAAGCAGTTCCGGCTCCAAGCCCTTGAGTCCGACCTCAACCGACCGCCAGCCAGAAATAGCACCATCACACAAGCCTCACATACGACCTGGTAAAGGCAGACCGGAACCCAAGAGTCATATACCTAGGTCACAGCACTTAATTATCGAACATGACAGCCCGGCAGTGTGCATTTCTAGTCAGTGGAACACAGAACCGTCTTGTTTTGACCAGGCTCAGACGCAGTCTCCGTCAGAGCCGTTTCCAGAACAGCACTCTCTAGAACAGGCCGTGCAAGGGTACCAAGGAAAAATGAAAGGGAAAGCGTCACATGGACAGCCGTTGCAAGACCTGTTGGTTGACAATCGGCCTGGCATTGTCACCCAAGGCAATAAGTCGCAGGAGTCTGAGCAAAGCGTTAACTCGCAGTCATCAGTTGACGACGCCTCTGGTAGCCACGACTCACAGTCACCGGAGGGCAACGGCTTATCTGAAGGCCCCGGTTCTTATATACAGACCGACAGCACATATAGCATTCCTCTCACAAACGATCATGTTCCGAGAACATGGATCCAGAGGGTCGGCGAGACTTCACAACTGGATGCACCGGGCGATATGCGCGGGGGCAGTAACCAGAAAGCCTCCGAAGATGACACAGGTCAGGTCGGCGGACTCGCATCAGCACTCTCGCGGACGGCGAGCAGGATGCACGTCACCCGCACAAGGTCCATGACAAACCTACTGTTTTCGAAAAGTTCCAGCATATTGCCAGTCCGCCGAACCATCAACGGCCGCATGCCGGTTGATACCTTAGGGAAAACACCGGACACGGACGGCAGTGCCGTTTTCGCCCCACCGCCGTCTATTTCAGCTTTGTGGGATCTTAGCGAGGAAAGAAATTCGAGGGATCTTGGCACCATTGACGCCATCCTAGCCAGACACAATATGGTACGTGATTGATACCATTGCAGAGTTGTGAACTACGCAAGGTACTGCAAACACACCGGCTAACATGTACAGCATCCATCTTTATCTGCCTACTCTGTCGACTCCTTGTCCTCCAACCGGACAACTTGTTCATCTGGTACAAAACTGTGGACAGAGCCCTCGTCGACCGAAACTGGCCCTGAATTGGACGAGGATTCTAAAGACCTCGACCATGACACGTCGTCCGACAGTGACACCCACGAGACGCTCGTAGTTCCATCGTCTAACAACACCTCTGGGCCTGAAGTTCCTCAAAAGAGCGAAACGGAACATCTTACCGAAGACCAAACGTGCGAAGCTGAAGCACCGGAAAGTGTGCCTGCAAATGATTCGCCCTGTCTGGATCAGCAGCCAATCCAGCGGAAAATGCTGGCGGAAACCAACAAGGCCGTGGAGACACAGCAGGAGCCGTTTCAACTCTCTGAAGAAGGCAAGAAGTTCTCAAAAGAGCTGGAGTTGCGCTTTGCGCTGTCAGGGTGCGTCGAGATTCCCAGCGGGACGATACCGCGGCCTTCGCCAGCCTCGAGCTTGACGACTTCGCTTAAAAAGTCTATTGCACTGGATTTGCTTTGTTACGCCTCGTACGGCAAAGAGCAGGCGATGGCACCACGTCACCGAAGCATTCGGGAGGCCTTTCAAAATGTTGTTGCGGGGTCCCGCTCATTGAGATGGCTCCGGAGCAGAGGAAGAGGGAGGAGGTTCTCGCGGAAGCCCATTCCCGACTTTTAGTCTCAGGGGCGGATGCAAGGTATTTTATTGTTTTATATTTTGACTTTATGGCGTTTTAGCTAACCGAGTCCCATACTTGGCTGCCACCACCATATGGGACGCTGTAAACAAACGCAATGGAGGATGGTAATAGTACAGAACAAAAGTTACCAGCAACCCAGAATAACTTACACATCAGGATTAGAATACAGCAAGAGACACCGTTCACAAACAAGCATTTGGTCATTATCATGGCTACTGTGATTCTGTGCTACCCTGACCAGCCACGATGATTGACCTGCGGAGTTCTGCAATCCCATCCACGAGTAGCATGTGTCTGCAGAGGATTGCTTTTAGTCCCAGAGTACTCCAGTCACCGTTGCCCTTCTGAGGCTCTAGGGGAAACGAGCTCAGTGCGCCATGCGTAGGTATTTACGTCAGACATATATATGTACCCATCGCTTCGATACCTTCCACTGTGGGCATTTTATGCGCATTTTTCGATGGCACGAAACGGTCTACAAGCGCCGTTTCATTGTATCTGCTTCTAAACACGGTAAGACTAGGCAGGTAGCATCTTTTCAGAAATTTAATTTTACTTCGTTTTGAAATACGAGGTTTTGAACCTTTCTCCTGGCGCTTTCTTTCATTACTTTGTCCTTTCCTAGCCTCTAGGGCCCTCTGTACTCAATAATGAAGTACACAAGCGACATGAAAGTATTTTTTCGGGCATTCTTTCGACTGTGCCGAATTCAAAGCTTACGATGCCACGCCCTCGATGATGATGGTTGTGTGCATGTACGTTTTCCTCGGCACTGAGAGCTACTGATCTGCCTACTGTCCACACGCACACTTGGCCGTCAGAGCATGCTAGGCCCCTCTCTGAATACAGTCTACTTCTTCTTGTGTACTTTCGGTTGGTATGTCACTGCTGGTTCCATCATGACAAATATGGGCAGGGATCAACCATCCGACGTACGTCCTATGTCGGTTCCATATTTCTCGCAATCTCCTTGAATAACCGTTCTCATCACTATCCATTCGACGCGAACCGACATCTCACACGCCCCCTCCATCATGCACTTCCTTCTTGTCCTCCTTTCCCAAGTCGAAATAGTCTATGCACGGTTTTTTTGGACCATGGCTCCCTTCCTGTCGTCTGCTCAACGTCCGCCTGCACGTGGAAAGGGGCGGGCCCCATTGATTTTTCTACCCAGTCTGTTTCCTTTTGAATCTTTGCCATTGAAAACAAGCTGGATGGCAAGCCAGGGAACCTGATAACTTGTAGCGGTGAGCTGAAGTGAACCATGCCGTTGCCGTATATGTTAACGCTTACGCCTCGCCCTCCCATTCGTGGCTGGGCTATACGAGGGTTTTATTTTTTCAGTCTTTTCCTGGCGGGGCATCCCATACGATTCCTATTTCCACCTCTGTAATCGACCGTTTGCCCTTCCAGTGGTATTCTGCATTGCAGACATACAGAAATACTTGCACCTTCTATTGTGGGTGTCCTTTGTTGCGATACCTTCCCTCCTCGAGCCAGCCCCTATTCGCATTCTCAGACCATCACCAACTGGCTCCTTAAGTTTTTCATTTGCTCCTCCACTCATGCAACACCGCCCCCCCCCCCCATGTAGTTGTTTCTCAAATACTAAATTTGTGCAGGCGTGCATTTCTTTGAATAACATCCCATTCGACATATCAGCGTTGCTGTTGGCAGCGGTTGTGATGTGTGCCTCAATGAAACAAGATAGGGCACGGAATGGGAGGAAAGAAGCACCATGGTGAGCAGCGCCATTATTTTTCTCTTTTGCTCTTGCGCTTCCTTTCTACTTACAGGAGACTACCTGGTAGGGCACAAAAATCTAAGACACATTAGACAAGTATTTCTCCTTGCATGTTTGGCGGTAGACTGGTGGACTTTGAACCAAGTAATACAGGGGACAACAGCACAAGCACATCTAACTGAGGCTGCCACAAATACCGTTGTGTACAGATCCCAAGTCAAGGATTTATCGCTCAGAGTATGTCAAACGCCATAGAGGGGCCTACTGAACAGTTTGTCGACTTGTTCTCACCGCCCACGAGCTCAGCGTAGGAAAAGAAACAAAATGAATACGTAAAGTAATATCATTGCGTGTATTATAATTATCCTTCCCTTCCGTCTGGCACATACAATGGCGTATTTTCTTTCCAGTCGAAGCCGGACAGAACGCAGATCCAGTCATAAAATTCCAAAAGTGCAAAGAGGTGGCGAGCAAACAAAAATATTGATGGGCAACAGGACCACTAAAATTCCAAGCAAGAAAATTCCAAAAAGAACAAGAAACGCCAACGCGATGCAGTACAACAAAAGTATATAATATATATATACACATCCAAAACGCTAATTAATTTTGTTCCCTGGCAAATGGACAAAACAGGCCAGACAAAAAGAGACAGTGCGATGCAAAACAAGAAACAAAACAAGCATAAAAAACAAAACAAGCTCGCAACACATTTTAAAAATAGCAAATTCGCTATGCAAGCGGGTATCGTAATTCATCTCCATATGACGATGCAAGGAGCGTGCGTAATGCCGAAAATTATCGTCATTGGTCTGAAAACGTTTAAATGAGTGTTGGCTTTTGTGTAATCCGTCCCGAATATCCGTAAGATAAGGAGTGTCTAATGGTGGGTATCATTCGATGAAGATGAAGGAGCGTGTATCGTTATTATGATAGTAATAAAGGAGTGTCGTGAGATCCGGTAGGTGCTGGACGGCGCTGCCAGTCGAGTCCGTCTAGTTATATATTATTGAATAAATGAGTGCTGGAACCGTTCATTACGGTGTTGAACGCAGAGAAATGTCGAAAACAGAAAAAGCAAGTAAAGGCAGAAATGCAAATGTAATCAAAGAATGAAACGAAAAAAAAAGAGGCAACCCAGCCAAGCTCGGCTTATCTGGGGGTGCAGGGGAGGAGGAGGGCGACGCTTCAGACGGCTTCTTCTTTGACTTCCTTTCCTTTGCCCTTGCCACTGTCTGCGATTGAAGGGGGGGCAGACGATGTGGACAGGTTGTGCCGATGATGGTGAAAGCGAGGCTGGGCCATAGTCATCGTGGGAAGAGCCGTAGAAGAAGAAGGCACCGAAGACATGAGGCGCAGAGAAGAAGGCACTTCGGGCGGGGCCGGGTACGTAGAGTAGGGACGCGCAAACTGCGCGGGTCGCGAGGCCAATGATGGGATCCTGAGACGAGAGCAAAAAGAGAACGAGTCAACCAATTTTGCTCTTTGGAGTTTGATGTTTGTGTGCTTCGTCTGTTTCCCCGGCGGGGGGAAGGCCGGGGTGTTGGAACGCTCCAGTACACTCACGAACAAATGTACTAGATCCAGACAGTTTGGAGTGGAGAGACGAACCCGACACCAAGGTTGTTTGGTCCTCCCATCATCTGGGTGTGATCAATGCCGCCAGTCGCGCTGCGGCTGCTGTTTGAAGCGTAAGTCATGTCGTACGAGCTGTAGTCATCGTTGTCGCTGTAGGCCACGGAAGAGCGGTCACCAAAGTCGCCAAAAGTGCTGGATGCCGGGCTGTAGCCGCCATAGGAGGGGCTGGGGATGTTGAGGTATTGCGGATGGGCGTAGGGCGATGACAGTTGGAGCGGGTTGATGACTGAGCTCGGGCCTGGATCCGCTGACATCATGGACAGGTCGTCCGCGCTGTAGCTGAACGAAGGGTTTCCAACGATATTCTCGCTACCATAAGGCATGCGGTACTCCACGGGGCCGGCGGTGGTCGCCGGAATGGTCAGAGAGCCGTTAGCCGCTGACGTGACAGCAGCGTCGTGCAGGTAGAAGTTAGGCGGGTTGAACTGTGGGAACGACGGAGTTCTGGTCGGGTTGACCCAGCCCATGCGAGACCGGAACTCACTTACGACGTCAATAGAGAACTCCATGAGCGTCAGAGGAGTCTGGACGTCGCCCTTGTAGGCACTGTTGACATTGATGGAGAAAAGGCGGCGAGCAATCTCTTCGACGGGACCAATGGATAAGCTGCCAAAGTACGCAGCGCCAATCTCGGGGAAGAGCCGCTCCATGACCAGGGCAACTGTGTACAGGTGGGCAACGCTGACGAGGCTGCTGGGCGAGGTACCGGCATTTTGGAAGAAGCGCACGGGGGTCCAGAACAGCCAGTCACGCAGCGGTCGAAGGCGAGCAAACTGCTGAGCGACGGGAGTGTTGCTCTCCTTGCGAGCGCCCTTGAGAAAGGTGATCAACTGCGAGATGGCCTGGAAGTCCTCCTTGTTGTGCTTGAGGAAGGTCTCAACCTTTTGAAGCTGCTGGATGGTGCGCGTGAAGACCTCGAGGTCCTCCTTGCGAGGCTGGCTGGGCTTGTGGTCGGGAACAGGCGACGCAGGGGCCGTCGGAAACGTACTGCTTTCAGCGATAAAGTCTCCGAACTGGGATTCATGTTTCCAGAGGTCCATGGCCTCGATGACCTGGAAAGAGGGATAGGGGTCAGTTTGTCTGTTTTCGTTTTCGCACCACACAATGCACGTGTGTTACACAACTTACCGAGCGGGTGCCCTGCATCAGTTGGGTCCAGCTCCGCCTAGAAAGATGAAGGTCAGTCGCCTGTGTTACGAGCATAGACGAGAGAGGAAGAAAATGCTTTCACGTACCAGTCGGTGGCTTGCCAGGATAGAACCAGCGACGCCGCAAGGATGGCATCTGAAGTCTCGCGAGAAAAGGTGCTGATGGCCTCCTGGAGACCCTTGAGGGCAATGCCACGGTGCTCGTCGGCCATGATGCCAACAATGGGACACTCGTTGAGGTAGGTGATGTGGCTGGCCGAGAAGGCGAGCAGGGCATGCATGACATAGGCGTTGGTCGTACCAATGCTGATGATTCTATATTAAAAGTCGTGTTAGTGGGGGTCATGTCCCTATTCACGTCCCTGGTCGCGGGATGAGCCAACCAATGAATCCAAAGGAGCAGCACACGTACGTCGGAATCTGACGAGTCCAGATGCTGAAGCCATCG